TTTCATCTTCCCTTAGATTTGTTGTTATTTGTCAGTCTAGACCTGTGGAGTTGGCTAGGGAGACAGGTAGCACCATAGATCTCCTGTGTCTCTACTGAAGCAGATGAGCACCTTCTGTATGACAAGCACTGATTTTTAGGGACTTTTGCTTGCTTCATTTAATCTTCAAAACAACTCTGAAATGAAGTCAGCCCTCTCTCTGAGAAGATGGGTTCCAGACTTCCTGAGCCCAGGCATGCTTGAGCCCCTTGCAAAAAATAATAGCCCAAGCTGGGCGTGGTGGCACACACCTGTAATCCTAGCATTTGGGAGGCTGAAACAGGAGGATCTGAGACAGGAGGATCGCTGTGAGTTCCAGACCAGCCTGGGCTACATAGTGAGTTCTCAACTACACAGTGAGACCCTGTCTCAAATAAGCAGAAAAGCATCAAATAAATAAGGTGACCCTGTCTCAAGGAAAAAAAAAATAATGACTCTGGGCAGGGGATTTGGCTCAGTGGTGCTGCACCTGTCTCGAAAGCACAGGGCCCTGAGTTTGATCCCTGGTACCAAAAAAAAAAAAAAAAAAAAAAAAGGCTCATGATACTGCTTAGTAGTAGAGCATTTGCCCAGCATGTGTGAGGTCTGGGTTTGACCCCCGGCATAGAAAAGAAAAGAAAAAAGAAAGTATAGTGTTTGTACAGAATATGTAAGAATATGTATTCTCCTGTATACTTTTTATTTTGGATTTTTATTTATTTATTTATTTTTGTACCAGGGATGGAACTCAGGTCCTTGTGCTTGCGAGGCAAGTGCTGGAACCACTGAGCTAAATCCCCAGCCCTATTTTGGATTTTTGAGACAGGGTCTCTGCAGTTCAGGCTAGCCTTGAACCCACTATGTAGCCCAGGCTGGCCTCGAATTTGTGGTGATCCGGAATGCTGGGGTTACAGGTGTGCACCACCATGTCTGGTCATGTTAGGTATCATAAATAATCCAGAAACAATTTTGTTTTTATTTTTATTTTTTCCAGAAACAATTTAAAGTGTACAGGATTGCTGCAAGTTTGAGGCCAGCTTTGGCTACATAGTGAGCCCAAGGCCAACCTGGACTCATGGCAAGTTCTACATAGTGAAAGTCTGTCTCACAAAAATACGAAAAAAACCTGACATGATACAAATGTTAACAGTTGTTATACTGTGTTGCTTAGAGGATAATGATAAGAAACTGTACATTATTCAACACAGACACAATTTTTTTAGTACTGGGAATTGACCGCAGAGCTTTCACACTGAGCTATATTCTCAGCCCTTTCTTGTGTTTTAAGACAGGATCTTGCTAAATTGCCCAGGCTGGGTTCAAACTTGCAATTCTCCTGCTTTAGCCTCCCAGAGTGCTACGATTATAGGTGTGCACCACCAGGCCTACCAGACAGAATTAAAAAAAAAAAGATTTTTCAATCTGCAGTGGGTCGACTCCCGTAGATGCTCAGCCCTGTAGATACAGAGGGCCATCTGTATTTTTGTCGCTGTTGCTGATTGTAGAGACTAAGAGAAGCCAAGTAACTTGCCTGAAATCACAAAGCAATTATTTTTTTTTTTCAGTGCTGGGGTTGGAATCCAGGGCCTTACACATGCTAGGCAAGTCCTCCACCACTGAGCTACATCCCCAGCTGCACGTAGCCGTTTTGTTGTTGCTGTTGTGTTTTGGTACCAAAGATCGAACTCCGGACCTTGCACTTACAAGGCAGGCAGTGGAACCACTGAGCTCAATCCCCAGCCCTGCACATAGTGGTTTTAAGAGCTGGGAATTCCAGTTCAGGACTGGCTGGCCCCAAGGCTTTGTGTAGACTCAGAGCTGCACATGTGCTGGTGGCTCCCAGGAAGGGAGAGAAAGGTCCATGTGGAGCACAGTTAGGGTTAATTCTGATCGCTTGTCCACTGTCCTCCATTGCCACAACTTCCCTACCAGCTGTCCTGAAATGAGACTGTATTGGCTGCCCAGGTTTCCTCCCTAAATCGGAGCAGCATCTGGTCTTCGAGGAAAGCCTGGCGTTGCAGGAACCTATAACTAAGGGTCAGATGACTCTTGGTTTGAACGACCAGCTAGCATGAGCTCCCCTGGGAAAATATCTGTGTGGAAAGTCTTATCTACACACCAGCTATTCATTCCCCCAAATTAGGAAACCTAGAAAAATGATTCTGTTTACAGGCCCCAGAGCAGAATTGGGCACCTGAACCCCTTTGTCAGCTTCCCCAAGGTGCTGAGAGCCCTATCCAGAACCCCTAATCCAAGCTGGGCTGAAGATGGAAAGTTCTTTCACATTAAGTTTGGCATTAAAACTCATTTGCAGCCGGGTGGGGTGGCACACACCTGTAATTCCAGCACTTCAGGAAGCTGAGGCAGGATTGTAAGTTGTGCCCCGCCTGGGCAATTTAGCAAGACTCTGTCTAAATAAATAAACAGGTCAGAGATATAGCTCAGTTAGAAGGCCTTGAGTTCCACAGCCCAGTGCCACAGAAAACAAACAACAATATTCACTTCATTTGTGGCAAAAATCAAGCCAGACCTCATAATCTACTTATCCTTCTTGGTGTGAGTATGTGAACGTTTTGCTGCAGAAAATGGAACTGATGGGTAAGGTGAAGGGCTGGGCAGATGCCCTTCAGGATGGGCAAGCTGCTTTGAGGAGGGAGAGCTACCTACACACAGCGCAACGGAGCCAGGCCTGGAGGAAGGCCTGGGTAGCCTCTTCGCAACCCAATCTGTGCACTCGAGAGCACCGAGGACGGCCATCTAGTGGCCTTCGGAGTACATAACCCCTTTCCGGGGCAGGGATCCCCTACAGCAAGCCTTAAACTTGTGTTTCCCAACTCCCTGGCTGTCAGCAGTAATTGCAGGTCCCAAATTGTAGTGGCAGAGGTGCCACTGGCTAAAAGGCGCCGCCACCCATGGTGGGACAGGTGATGACAAAGGAGGGTCACACGCGTTTGGCTTGACGTTAAAGCTGTGCGTGGACTGGGCGGTCTTTCCGAACTAACGCAAGCGCTCCCTTTGGCCGCCAGGCAGTTCAGGGACCGGCCGGAGCGCCCCCTGCTGGGTGTAGCCCGCCTCGCTCCGCGCAGCTGCGGGGCGTTCGGCGTTCAGTGCGCCACCTGGCGGCAGTGAGGGGAACGGCGGGAGCTTGACG